GCACGTGTAACACTCGTGCCTAACATCAAGAACAATATGGGTTGGGTGGCCTTGCCGTTTGTATGCTCTCCCACTTTTATGCGGAGTGAGTGCGTGGACTTTGTATGTTCTCGCCCTGTTCTGTAGAGTGATAAGGCTACGCGCGTCCTCCAGGCAAGGACATGTACGTACGCTTGTAGAAATTTCGTTCACACCGTACATGTCCGACCGTGCCAATCGGCGGTGTGAATGCGGCACACGTCGCGGTCGTGAGCCCACGTGGGCGCTGCCGCGGCTCTGGTCGACACTCACTCGGGTCGCCGGCGCAGCGCGGCACCCCCGGCCTCCAACCCCGACGCCGCCTCTCCGCCTCCAATCACCGCTGCATCGTCCTCCTCCCTCGCGTTCGGCATCGGCCCCTCTACCCGCCGGTGCTGTCGCTGCCCCCCCTGCCGCCTCGCCCACGCCGGCGCCGGCACGACGCGGCGCGCCCGTCGTGTATATGGACCGCGGTATTTCGAGCAGCGTGAGCGTGAAGAACGCCGGAGCCTCCTCGGCAGGCGCCGGCGCCTCCCGACGGCCGACGTCGGCCGTCGCACCGTCGTCGCTGTCGCCTTCACCTCGTTCCCAAGCGGCGACATCGCACCGCCACGGTGCTTCGTCCTGCCCCGTCTCCGTGGGGTTCGCCAGGTTTCGGGCGGCCCGTCCTGTGCGCCGCTCTGGCGTTCGGTCGCGACCGCGCCGCCCCGCCCGCGGCCTCTCTGCCGGGGCCTCCCCGGCGACCGGTGCTGCTCGACGTCCCGTCGCCTCCACCCGCCGGGCGCTTCGTTCCGGAGCGACGGCGCTCGCCTCCTCGCGCCGACAATCTCCCGCGCGTTCCGGCTCGGCTTCCGAGCGCCCGACCGCCGCGGCCTTCCGTCCGGCGTCCTCCGAAGCGCCCGGCAAGACCTCGGCAGCGGCAACGACCCACGCGCCAGCCGCCGTCGCCGCGGGGGCGGCCACCGCCGCCCCTCCGGCCGCTCCTTTTGGCCGCCCGCTCCCACGGCCCCAGCGTCGCGCGACGAAGCCCGGAGACGTTGCACCACGATCACCCCCGCGGTCCGCGGCCTCCCGTAGAAAGCCGTCGGTCCCGCGCGAGTCGCCACGCTCCGGCCGCTCCGATGTTCGGCTTGGGCCTCAGCGATCTCGACCGCTGGGCTTCGCCCGCGGCGTACCCCGCGACGTCGCTCGGCATGCGGCCCGCTCGTTCGGGACGCGTCTCCGCCCTGCTCCGTCGCCACGGCGACGTCAAGATCGCCGACACTTTCGCCGTCCGCAGGCGTCGGCGTGGGCGGCTTCCGCCACCCACGCTCCCGCAATCGTTACCCGCAACGGGCGGGTCCGGGATGCCGAGCTCCGTCGCGTCCGGGCGTCGCGGCGCTCCCCGGCATTTCCCATCCCGTGGCGGCTTGCCGCCGGTGGCCACGGCTTGCGGGCTCCCCCGAGGTGAGAGGCGAGTGGCACGGCTCGGGCGAGTTCACCGTCTCGACATCACGGTCATGTCGTTGTTCTCCTTGTGTTGTCTTTGTTGTTGTTCTCGTTGTTGTTGTTGTCCTGTTGTGCTCCTCGTTGTTGTTGTTGTTCTACTTGTTGTTCTTCTTGTTGTTGTTCTACTTGTTGTTGTTCTCCTCGTTGTTGTTCTACTTGTTGTTGTCTCCTCGTTGTTGTTCTACTTGTTGTTGTCTCTTTGTTGTTGTTCTCCTCGTTGTTGTTCTACTTGTTGTTGTTCTCTTTGTTGTTGTTCTACTTGCTGTTGTTCTCCTCGTTGTTGTTCTCTTTGTTGTTGTTCTCCTCGTTGTTGTTCTACTTGTTGTTGTTCTCCTTGTTGTTGTTCTCTTTGTTGTTGTTCTCCTTGTTGTTGTTCTACTTGCTGTTGTTCTCTTTGTTGTTGTCCTTGTTGTTGTTCTCCTTGTTGTTGTTCTCCTTGTTGTTGTTCTCCTTGTTGTTCTTCTCGTTGTTGTTCTCCTTGTTGTTGTTCTCCTTGCTGTTGTTCTCCTTGCTGTTGTTCTACTTGTTGTTGTTCTACTTGTTGTTGTTCTCCTTGTTGTTGTTCTCTTTGTTGTTGTTCTCCTTGTTGTTCTACTTGTTGTTGTTCTCCTTCTTGTTGTCTCCTTGTTGTTGTTCTCCTTGTTGTTCTACTTGTTGTTGTTCTCCTTGTTGTTCTCCTTGTTGTTGTTCTACTTGTTGTTGTTCTCCTTGTTGTTCTCCTTGTTGTTGTTGTTCTTGTTGTTGTTTCCTCGTTGTTCTCCTCGTTGTTGTTCTCCTCGTTGTTGTTCTCCTCGTTGTTCTCCTTCTTGTTGTTCTCCGTTGTTGTTCTCCTTGTTGTTCTCGTTCGGCACTCCCTGAGACATCACGAACCTCACCACCATTTGTGGCAAATTCAAGCGAGCCTCCCGATCGCCGCGCTTCCGCAACACTGAAGCTCTCCCGCCCAACGACCGATCCGGCGGCATCGACGCCGGCGCGGACAATCTGACGGGCGCCGTCATCTCGCCGCGGAGCGAGGCGCCGTCGGCCGGCTCGTCGCGACGATCGTCCGACGACGACCCCGGGGCCCCGGATCGTCATCGATGCCCGCCGCGTGGCCACCTCGACGCCGCCCCACAGCGGCGGGCATCCGTTGGCGCGACCCTCGACCTCTCGCGCCGATTGCCCTACACCCCGTGATGTTCGGCCGGGGTTTCTGCAGACGCGAGCGACCGCCGCCCTTCCCTCCCGCTTCCGCCGTGAGCATCGGGACGGCGTCCGTCTCCGCGCTGCCTGAGGCTGCCCCCATGCGGCCTTGGACAAAGTCTTCAGAAGCCTCAGCGGTGGCCTGCAGGCCGGGCCTTGAGCTACAGGCATCGTCAGACTCGCCGACCGCCTGCGAATCTGCGATGTCCCCCTGCGCTTCGTGCCGTCGCGTTTCGTGTTTTGCGGTTGTCCCTTCGTCGTCGCCACCGTCGCCGCAGACATTTTGGGAGCCGCGGCCTTCGTCTCCGGCCTCGACGGCTCCGCGAGCAACGTCGCTTCTCCCCGCCTCCCGCCGATTCGCTTCCACGACCGTCGCAGCGGAGCCGGTGGCGCTCGAACCCTCCGCCAATTCTGCTAGCGCCGCCACGGAGATCTGGCGAGCGGCGACGTCCTTCTCAGGCGTGCGTGCGTTTGTAGGGCGCTTCCCCTCCTCCTCCTTCTCCCCTTCCTCCTTCCCCGGCTTGTCCTCCTCCTCGCCAGCCTCCGACTGTGCGGACCCAACGGACGCGGCCCCCGCTCCACCGTCGTCAGCCGCTGGCGATCCTCCTCCCGTACGCCCCCTGCATCGAATGGCCGCGCGACGCGATGACAGCCCGATGCTTGGCTTCAGCCTCCTCTGCCCTCCGCAGCCGCGCCGATGCATCGGCGACGCCACCGCCGCTCACTGCCAAGACCGGAGCGTCGGCGGGTGCCTCAGGAGGAATCCGCGGCCCGTGGGCGGTGCTCTCCACGGGAGTTCTGTCGCCTCGGGCTTCTGCAACGCTCGCCTGCAAACCCCATGCCTCCGGTTAGTGCGGTTGGCTACGTGCGGTGCGAAAGAGGTTCAACGTACACACGGACGTACCCGCACCGGTGACGGTGACCGGTTCTCCCAGGGTTCCCCGCGTCCTCTCCCGGGCGGACGTGCTCCGAATCGCCGGCGACGGGACCGTCGCCTCGGGGGCTACCGCCGGCGCCCCGCCCGGCATCCCCGGTGGATGAACCGGCGGGCGAAGTTCCCGCGATTCGTGTGTCCGCCCCGTCGCGCTCACCGCCTCGGCGCTCTCCCAGCAGAACCTCCGCTTCGGTGTCGTGGTCGTCGCCAGCCGCCGCTGCCGCATCTGTGAATAGTTGAACAAAGTCGCGTGTGCGTGTGATGTGCGTGTGATGTGCGTGTGATGCGCGTGTGATGCATGTGTGATGCGCGTGTGATGTGCGTGTGATGCGTGCATCCCATCAAGAGGGACGCGCCAAGCGACGGTTACAAAACGCGACGGCGCGATGTGCCAAATGTTTCGTTCCACTTGCCGGGAGATTTTTTTTCCAGGAACGGAGGAAAATAAAGACGAGCATGGAGAGAAGGTCACGGGGTCGCCAAGAAGGGCCGACGGTCAGGATTCACCACAGAGTGGCCGCCACCCCTCGAGATTTGATGGGATGATGTCGAGGGGGTTGCAGCGATGGAATCGGCTCATGGTGGGTGGATTGCCGTGAGAGGTGGCGGTGGCGTTGGCTTGGGGATTCCTCCATCCAGCAGTGGATCAATCATGACTAATGATGAGTTTATCTTTTTAGATTATTATTCATGGGTGTCCTCCGATGGTACAGACATTAGACATGATGAGTTATAATCGTGGTTTCACGGGTCGCGATGCGGTGGTGAAATGTTAACTACCTCGCCTGGTATGCAGAAGGTCGCAGTTTCGATCCCGACCCTGAAGCTTATATATTTGCGTATCTCTCCCCGTGGTCGCCTGTGGATTTTTCTCCAGGTTCTCCAGTTTGTCCCTCCACGATTAGAATCGACGTCACGTGTTTATAGACTATTTGGCTCCTATAAATTTCCACGGGGCCTTACCTGGTAAAATACATTTTAAAATTTCGTAGTTTACAAGATTTACACGTAGGCTTTCGCGAGCAATATCATAGTAACGAATTGGCACGTTCCGTTTTCGTTACAAACCTTACTAATTTGCTGTGTCGGGTTGGTGGCGGGTTTAACGACACTTTTATATATTTACGCGATCTAACCCAAAAAAAACTCTTATGGAGTTCATAAGATGTTGAACATCCTTGACGATCTACACAAACAAGATGGCTACCACCAAATTCACCTGGGGTTGAGCAGCTCTCCCTGGGTACTGCATCCATCACAATTCTCGCCACATCCTTCCCCTTCCCTCCTCCTCTCCCTCCTCTCCCTCCTCTCCCCTCTCCCTCCTCTCCCTCCTCTCCCTCCTCTCCCTCGGCTTCCCCTCCCACCCGGGCTCCCCGTCCACCCCTCCTCGGCCCGACCGCGGTCCCCACAGACAGGGGTTCTGCCACCTCAGCTCCTGGATCCGTGCTCGGCTGTTCCTCCGCTGCTCCAGGGTCTCTGCTCCAGGTGGGTGCCACAAATTAGTCAACGTCGGAGGGAAGCGGCAAGGCTGTGGGTTTCTGTGTGAGTCTGTGGGTCTCTGTGCGTGTCTGTGGGTCTCTGTGTGAGTCTGTGGGTCTCTGTGCGAGTCTGTGGGTCTTTGTGAGTCTATGTGTGTCTCTGTATGAGTCTGTGGGTCTCTGTGCGAGTCTGTGGGTCTTTGTGCGAGTCTGTGGGTCTCTGTGCAAGTCTGTGGTTCTCTGTGTGGGTCTATGTGTGTCTCTGTGCGAGTCTGTGGGTCTCTGTGCGAGTCTGTGGGTCTTTGTGCGAGTCTGTGGGTCTCTGTGCGAGTCTGTGGGTCTCTGTGTGGGTCTATGTGTGTCTCTGTATGAGTCTGGGTCTCTGTGCGAGTCTGTGGGTCTCTGTGTGGGTCTATGGTGTCTCTGTGCGAGTCTGTGGGTCTCTGTGCGAGTCTGTATAACTTGATTTGGTGCGTCTTACAATCTGGACTGCTAGGAAGTGCCCAGCATGCATGGTGTGTGGTACGCACCCATTCTCTTTCTCGTACCAAGTGAAGTCCGGGGCAGGCTCCTCCTGGCCGTCTCCATCACGGTCGCCGTGATCGTTTTTGACTTTTATCTTCTTCGATTTCCTGACTTTTTTCTTTTCTAGGAAAAGTAAAAAGGACAAAGTGAACCAACCACGTGGGTTTGCGACGACGCGGGTTCGCCGACGTCGTTTCAAGCGATGTGCCAATTGGGAGCCTCCCTAGACGCTAAGAAGAGACGCGGCTGCCGCTGTCGCTGGGCTACTCGCGTAGCCGTCGGTCGGGCGTGCAAGCCGTGCAACTGCATCTGACCCGGGCGTAGAGCCGTAATCCTGCAACGCTCGCGTGAAAACCCCGCACCTCCCGTTAGCACGGTCGGCTTCGTATGGTGTGAAAGAAGTTCAACATACGGTACACACCCGCAGCTACGAATCGCATGGGTGGCTTCGTATGGTGCGAAAGAAGCTCAACGTACACGCATAGATACACCGCACCTCCAATTATAACGGTTGGCCATGTACGGTGCGTAAGAAGTTCAGAATATACGGCACTGTAGCAAGGGCTGGTGGATTGCACGAATTCGTGAAGCTTCCTCTCCCCTTTCCTCTAGGCGTCATCAGGGTATCATGGCAGCACAGCCAGTGGAATTGGACTAATCGTCATCAGTTTCCATCCATACGGGGGTGGAGTATCATCACCCCCCCACCCCGGCTCGTGTGAGATTTTCTACGGGATTCTCCGGTTTCCTCCCACGGAGCGTTCAAATCAGTCACCGATGGAGCTGGCCAAGCATCCCAATGCGTAGGACCGCAGAGCTTGGACAAGCAAGGGTTTTGATCCCCCATCGAGTTTGTGGTGTCTCTCTCTCTCTTTCCTCGTGGTCGCGTGGATTTTTCTCTGGGTCCCAGAGAACGTGAGCAAGAGAGAGAGAGGTGTGGGGTGCCACAGTGGCTATGAGATGTTAACTACCTCGCCTGGTGTACATGAGGCACGTGGGTTCGATCCCAACCCAGATGCCTGCTGTATATTTGGAGTTTGCGTGTCTCTCTCTCTCCGTGGTAAGGCCCCACTGGGCTAGGTAGCTCTTTATTAGAAGCGACCTGGCTATCACAAATGATAGCTCAATTTAGTGAGCTTATCATCATCACGTGGAAATTCATAGCACCAGCAAAATACTCTAAACGTGTGACGTCAATTCTAAATGTGGAGAAAAATCCACGGGACCGGGGGGAGAGAGACACCGCAAAAATATACAGCAGGCGTCTGGGTTGGGATCGAACCCACGACCTCCTGTGTACCAGGGGAGGTAGTTAACATCTCGGCACCACGGTGCGTACCATGCACGGTGTGTATTGGGCGCGTCTTCAGGAGGACTGGAGTGGGGAAATTGGACCGCGAGGGGGCTGGAGTCCAGGCCTCGAGCCACGGCCCATGCCAACCCTACGCGGTGCCACCGCGGCGCTCCGCGACTCCTTACCCTGCGCCGCCTTCCCGTCCGGCGCTTCTTCCGTCTCCTTCTGCTCCGCCTCCTTCTCCTCGTCGTTCCGTCTCCGCCGCCTCTCCTCGTCTTCTTCTCGGCGACCCCGCACGAACCTCGCAGCCCCTAGGCGCAAAAATCCACCGGCGCGATGGAACGGTGCAAATGATTCACCCCTCCGGCTGCAATGGCCGCAAGGGTGCAAGGGCCCTGTCACAGTACCAGCAATAACAGCAGCACCAGCAGCAACAGCACCAGCAGCCACCAGCACCAGCAGCAGCAGCAACAGCACGCACGACGCTCATCGCCCTTCTCGCATGTGTGCGTGCTACGAAACCTGGCGACCCGAGTTCGATTCCCACTCGCGGCCAACACCAGTGACGACTGTCTGAACCGGCCCTGGGCCTCCCCTAGGTCGACTCAGCCTCAAATGAGTACCCTGCTGTGGTGTGCGTATACATCACCACTGGGTGTGGTGTTGGCTACTCACCCCACCTTGTGCCGTGCCGGCCTTCATAGGTGCAACTCGCCAACAGCACTTGCCCCAACAGTCTGTCAAAGGCTATACGGGGGATCTTTGTCTTTCGGGGTGGTCGGGGTGGGAGGTGGGGGGTGGGGGTCACGTGTCGCTCACCTTCCAGGAACCGTTTCCGAGGAGGCAGCGTCGTCATCACCACCCCCCGCGCCGACCGAGCCGCCCTCCGGAGCAAGCGGCTGATCCACGCCATCGCCGCTCGCCGCCTGTCCAGAGAGTCTCCATCTTTCCGTTTGCTCGTCTTCTCCTCCTCTTCCTCTTCGCCGCCGGCGTTCCGGACGGAGCGGCGCTGCCAACTTCCGCCGCCGCCGCCGCCGCCGTTGCCTCCCTCGCGCCTCTCGCCTCTCCCGCTTCGTCTTTTTCCCGCGCCCTCGTCGCACGCTGGGTCCTCGCCGCCGTTGTCGCCGTCGTGGTCGACGCCGCTCAAACCACCCTCCTCCTCCTCCTCGTCGTCATCTGGGGCACGAGCGTCGGTGGCGAGAGGGGAGCTGTTACGTCACTGGGGGTGTGTTGTATGTGTAGTGACTCAACTCGGAGACAATAAGACTCGGAGGCACTTCTTTATTTAGCAAGCACCTTTGGGATAACACACTCCCTGCGTGGGTGCACACTATTATAATGAAGACCGTCTATTGTCGGCGGCACTACTTAGTCAGGACAGTTGGTAGGCCGTCTGACTAGCGGCGCCCCGGGATAGTGAAGACGACGACGAGATGGTGACGATGACGATCTTGAGTAGTACGACGGGGATCCCACATCCAACAACAGCCCCGTGGTCCCCCACAGGGATCCCTCTTATACTCCCAGCGCGGCCTCGCTCCGCCCCCGGCCACGCCCCCTTTCCGGAACCTACCAGCGGGTTTCCGGCAGAGGTCGCAATCGGGTACCCGATATCCGTACCCTACCCAATACCCGGCTACCCATACCCGGCCGGGTGTGGGTACCCGTTTGCGACCCTGGTGCCACCGGGTACGGGTACGGGTATGGGTAGGCCGTGAGTCACTGGTGAGTAACCGTTTGTCACTCATTTCCCAACGTCTTGTCTCTTCTCACAATTCAAGTTCCTATAATCAACCCACCCACGCCTGCAACATGGCTTCATCCCAGAGGTCGCAATCGGGTACCCGTACCCGTACCCTACCCGATACCCTGGCCGGGTCTCGGGTAGGGTATCCGTTTGCAACCCTGGTGCGGCCGGGTACGGGTACGGGTAAGGAATCAAAACCGGTTTGCGACCTCTGGTTCCTGGGGCTTCCCGATGGGCCCCTTCTGTGACCTTTCCCCAAGATGTCCCCCGCTCGTGTCTATCGTGGCCTGCTGACGTCAGTACTGCCATACGCCGCAGATTCCACTTTTTGCCAGCAGCCGGCGCTATGCCACTACACCTGTATGTACGTTGAACTTCTTTCGCATCGTGCGTAGCCAACCGTGCTAATCGGAGGATGCGGGGCAAGGACAACAAACTAAAACACAACAAGCAGTTCTTGAAGAAATTAGTTTGTCGATCTAGATGATGATTTAAAATTGCACAGCTAAAGTGGCTTCCTAATATCGGAAGGAAGAGTGTTCCAGACGGCCGCAGAAGCGCGTCTGAAAGCGCCGCGCGATGCGGTGACCACCGTCTTTGATTAGCCACAAGCCGCAGCTGCTGTTGCTGCTGCGAGGATGACCGGAGTTCGCGTGTTGGTTTATGAACCACACAGCGGTATGTACGAACCACACAGCGGACACAAAGAATTCCTGCCACGTCATTCGCAAGAGCAGCCCGACGTGTGTGTGTGTGGCGGGTGTGACTGGCCCCATTTTTTTCAGGATTCGGAAGATTACACTGCAGATTACTTAAATTGCGATCACGAAAAACACAATCGTGGTCATCGCCCCCCTCACCCCCCCCCCCGACCCCCCCGGCTGTTGCAAAAAAAACGACTCCGGATCATTCTAAAAGGAGAGTCGCGAGACCGATGCTCCGCATGCAGGCCAGGAGCTGAGAGTCAGCTTTCTGCTGCTGCGCAGGGACAGCTGCCGATTGGAGGGGTAGGGGTTGGAGGGGTGCACCCCGTTCAATGTTTGAGATGAGATTCTGCTGCAAGCAAGCAAGCGCATCTCTACAAACTGGCCTCACCCCTCTTTAGTTTCGTCGGTGGCCCTGGTTCTGTAACTTTTAGTTTCCTGGCTCTCCGTGCATTGGGCGGGCATTGGGATCCTGGGATGGAATGACGACCAACACACGTTTCGTCAAGTTTTTAAATCCTTTATTTAAGTTCACTGCTTGCTTGCTTGCTTAGGACCGTGCAAATCTTTAGGTCGTTTTTTAACCCACTTCCCGTGATCCAATCGAGCTGACATTTTCCACACAGACTCGTTGTGCGTGACAATTAATGTTCGTGAAAAAATGTTTCCAAAATTTTACACTTTTTAGGACAAAAATACAATATTTAATTACCAATTGCTTAATGCTGCCATGCAATCATCTGACCCATAGGTGGCAGCCATCTCAAGCCAGAGGACAAAAGGACTCTAGCCACCACGCATATAAAGGATTTATAGTGAAAAACTTTGTTTTTACGGGTTATACTTATTAACATCCTTCATTTCGCCGCACGACCACCGACTTCAGGCACGAGCTTCGCTTCGCCAGCCACGAACTTTGTCTTCTCTCTTTCAACCATTTACCCTGTGAAGCAAACCTTCGTTTCCCCGCCCTTTGCGCTTGCATCTTTCCTCCAATGATTTCAAATCTCTGTCTCCAGCCAATCCTTTTCCAGGCCCCGCCCCCCCCACTGTGCCCCCCCCCTGTGCCCCCCCCTGTGCCCCCCCCCCTGTGCCCCCCCCCCCTGTGCCCCCCCCCGTGCCCCCCCTTTCTCCGTCATCCACCCCCATGTAGTCTCTCCCAGATCTGGGGCACCAATCAGAGGCCTTGATTGCCCGACTGCCCGTGTTTGCAGCACAGCGTACGCACTACTGTGCCAGGTACGTCGCTTGTTGCGTTTCAATCTTCACACAAGGACGGAACGCGCATTATACTTTAGAATTATCAAATTATTATTAAATGCAAGTATAGTTATTGTTGTCGTTGTTGTCATTGATTATTCATGAATCATTGCGTGGGCATTTTCGGAAGGCCACGTGGAAATGTGAGCCAACGGAGAGAATGAGATTGACAATTCGAGTGAGAGACGGGGGGGGGGGGGGGGGGAACGAGACGATGCGAGGCGATACAGCTCTCGGGGCGCGGGAGCAAAACGTCGGACGTTGTTGTCGAATACCAAAACGCGGAGGAGAGAAACACCATACCCGACAGTTTGCACGCCTCTTGCGGGGTTTCTTTTTGTTTTCTTCTTTTT